CTTAGTCTTTACATAACAAATAGAGCAAAAAAAAGACTGAAATAAATAACAACTGAAACAACTAAATGACCAATAGCTAACCCTAGGAAGACTAGAACACCTTCTACCCTACGAACACAGTGGGACCGTAGCTGTGGGACCCACATCAGTGTTCTCTACAATGGATTTTGCCTGTCTAATTCCATAAGGTTGAGTTTGGATGGAGTACAAATGCAAATATGTAGAGTGCAAAACCTTATATTTTGTATTATCTATGTATTTACGCTGTACATATTTGAATTTGTACTGTGTCCAAACTGAGCCTAAAGAGTTGTCCATGTATCTGCCTTGAGTGGTTCTCCAATCTCTAATTCCATAAAGAATTGTCCATGTATCTAAACTTCAGTTTCACATGGCCTGTCCTAGGGGGGTTCCAACCAGAAAGGGAAGCTGCTTTAGATGTTGATGACTCAGCAACAATCTCCCAGTTTCATACTATAAAATCCGATGAGAAGGGAGAGAAAATCTCCAATGTTTTAAACCCAATGTACAACTTTGACTAATATGATTTCCTCCTCCAACCTCGCCTAGTTGCCGAAAAAGCATTCACTTCTCTCTTCTCAAACCACCCATAGTACAGCTGTCCTCATACATATCCATAAAAATTTTCCCGATGTCTTGGTTGGGTTGAAATGTCTTAGACAGAAGGCTCCTGAGGTTTGTGGGGGCTGTCTACCCCACCTTCACCTAAACTGTGAGAGAAAATAGTTCCAAATAGCAGTCTTGGCAGGAGATTAGTAAGTGAGATGTACTTTTCCCATTTTCTTTGCAGATAACACAAATGTATGGAGACAAATACCAGAATGTTTTTTTTTCATCTGTAGATTTTCACACAAATTAATTTTATCATGGTAGGCCTCCCAACAAAAAAGCCCTGATTTTAGGAGGAACAGGACCTTTCCAGTTGACTTTAACAGGGAAGTTCAGGTTTTGGTTTGGATTACTAGAGAGGGCTGAATGATGTACAAGTCTACAAGAAAAAGAGCTTGAGGAGTCTAGACTATAGTGGCATTACATGTATATGTTGTCCCTGGATTAGTCCATTGACCATGTATAAACTCTTGTAATGAGGGCCTTGCTGGTGCTTCTTTTGATGTATACCATCCTTTATGCATATGTTCCATGGTTTATTTTAATTAAACATGTATAGTTCTTCTAATGAGGGTTATAACTTATATTTGTTTTTTCTAAATACGATTATGCTTATAAAAAAGGCTAGGGACTGATTTGATGCAGAAAGTTGATGAATAAGAAAGCGGACAAACTAACAAACTAAGAAGGGCCTAGTGGCTTAAAATGAGTTAACTTTAAGGATAATGTAAGGCAGCATGGGTTAGGTAGTGTTCTCTTGATATTTGGTGGCCTACATTGGTTGTTTTGTTTTGCTGTGTGCTCAACAATGAGACTTCTGGTAATTGGAAGAGAAGGAATAACTTGTTTGACAGTTGAATCCGGTTGAACCAGTAGTATGTTAGCTTCCCTAATCAGGAATGTTAGGATCCATGGTCTTTCCAGTCTTCACGGTAACCAATCTACATCAAAAGCTAATTTCAACCAGTGGAGAACTGCAAGTAGTTCATCTCTTAAAGAATTTCCCAACTCTAGCTGGACTTGAAAAGATCATCAATAATGTTCCTGCATGATCTCTTAAGACATCCCCATACCTGACTGTCCTCAGTTGCTAAGAGAGCCACTGCCAAAATTCAGTTTAATCCATCCAGCTTCCGGCAGACACAAATGGAACCCATCTTTGATGAGAAAAGTGTCCACCGCGGGCCATTCTTGCAGAAACTCCTTTGATTTGTCATCACTTAATATGCTACTCTCACCATACAAAGGCAGTTATAGTGCTTGTGTCTTAACTAATATTAACACATGGAATCTATGACTCTATATTATTATGCAAACAATTAATTAAGAATGGCTTACATGCATAGGCACATGCACAGGGGGAAGCATATACAACAAATTTAGATCCTTATCTTTGTTTTGCATCTCCATCTGAATTCAATTTTAATCCAGTGAGCATGCGATTACAATCAAAGGTAATGGATCTCTTGATTAATTGTCAAAAAATATTGTACCTATTAAAAGTTTAAGCTTAATTCATTGCTATCAGTTGACTTCAGATATAAATTTAGCAAATTGTAATGATTTCTTTGATCATTATCTAAATGTTAGTGATTTTATATTTTTATTGTCAACTTTATAATGAATACCCCCCTTTCTCCCCAGTTTTATTTGGTCCAGATTCAAATGAGATTCTATATGACAATTTGCTTGGTGCGTGTACATGATATTTAGAATATTTAACTTCTTTATCTTGAAACTGTCTTTACTTGATATGACCAAGTTCTTTTTCCTCTTTATTTTCCCATCAGAATGCATGATGGAGGTGAAATGGATGTCCGGGCTTGCTACACTGCCATTTCTGTAAGTCAGATATCTGCTTTTTCAGTCTTGCATGGACATAAAACAAGTTGGTCAGTAATGATTACTGGAATATATTGTTTGAGGTGTTAGACTGGGGAAACAGAAAATGTACCCCTGGAGATTGATTGATATAACAAAATAAACTAGGGTTTGAATGCTGTTTATGAATGTGTGTGTGACTTACAGCACTGGTTATGAAAGTTGACAATTTGGCAAATGTGGGAATTGAGAGAGACATTATGTTTAGCTGTCCCTTAACATGGAAAAGACACAAAACCCCAAAGCTTATTCAATAGAATTTCCTTACATGGGCATACCCTTTGGCATTTTTTTTTGTGCACAAAGTGGTTGCTCTCAGACTTGAACCCACATTCTCATGTTTTTCAGCCTGAGTTTTTTCCATTGCATCAATCAATGGCCCCTTTTAATTGTTATATATGTACTTTCAAATTATTATTTCAGTAGATTCAATTATAAGATTTTCCCTTACATGCTCAATCTCATATTTAATGTGAACAAGTGTTGGTTTATATGGCTCTGTTTATGGTATGCATGATTAAGTGATGAAAAGGAAACTATCTATAAAAAAGTGATGAAAGGGAAACTACAAAACAAATATATGCAACATGGAGAAACATATAATCTTTGATGCATTGATGGACAAACATATGGTGTTTAGTAGTTTAGTAGGTAAATGATTGAGATGGTCTATGAGCCAGGTTGTGGTACTGAAAGAAGCTAAACAATGGATATGACCCTCTTCTTAGGCTCCATGCAGTCTAGCTTTAAGGGCTGTTTGGAAGCATGATAAAACTTGCCTGGCCTTACTTTCATCATTTACTCATTTTGATGAACTTGGGCAGGACTGCTGGAGAATATTGCATGTTGTACTTTTGATTATTGTGTCCATCAAAATACCTTATAAAGGGAATTGCATTGAACAGAAATCAGACTAAGTGTTCTGCCTACTTCCTCATGCATTTTAGTTCACAAAATATATTACAATATCTTTCTCAGATATTTTTCTTTATTATCCAAGCTTAAAGATGACTATTTTCTCTTCACTATCAGGTTGCAAGTGTACTGAACATTTTAGATCCTGAACTGGTAGAAAATGTTGGAAATTATATCCTAAGGTTTGTAACAATTAACAAATAGTTTCTCTTTGCACTTCAATTGGTGTTCAAGCTGCATTTGTTGCCTGTATTCTTGATTTTTCGGTAGGATATCTTTTATTGGTTTAGTAGCTTTGTTGGGTCTAGCTAGCCATGTGCTTGACTGCCTACTTGATTAGCTCTTTTTGGCCATTTAAAATATAGTAAGTGCATGCATCCATATTCTCTCACCAATCTCTAGGGAGTGGTATTGTGACTCATTTCTTTTAGATTCATGCCTGAATGCCTGATATGATGCAAATATGCATTTCTTTAAATTAAGTTGAGTACTATGTCTCAAGTGTTTTACTTCAATGTTAAAGCATATTATTAGCATTCAAGAGGTTAATTCATGCTTTTTCTATTGGTTCACTTGTTCCTTTTAGATTCAGGCCTGAATGCCTGATATGATGCAAATATGCAATTCTTTAAATTAGGTTGAGTACTATGTCTCATTGTTTTAATTCAATGTTAAAGCATATTGTTAGCATTCAAGAGGTTAATTCATGCTTCTTCTATTGGTTCTTCTTTGATTTCTAGATGTATAAACAGAAGGTACTGATTCATACATATTGTTCATTCACGAGGATAAAAGCACCCATGATGTCCATCAATGGTTGTTCATGATGTTTCTCTGGTCATATTCTGAGTTGCAAACAGATGAGCACTCGGCTGAACTGCTCATTCTATTAAAGACTAAATCAGTTAAATGGTTCTGTCAATCACTGACAAAAGTTATAATGATGGAGAAGGGGGAACTACAACTTGGTGAAAATGTTAAAGAAAGTCTTCATTTGGTCCAATAAAATTGATGCTATGCGGAAAAGAAAACATGAGAATTAGACTCAACTTAGCCCAACTAAGCCTTGCACCAACTATATGGGCTTGGCAACATGAATCCTGTTTCAAAATTCCACTCTATTCGGTTACATAAGAATTGAGTTATGAGTAATACTCCAAAATATTCCTGAGCTAAACCATTTTTCCTACTCATAGATTAATATATGATTTCTGTCTGATTATCATTTGTATAAAAACTTAGCAAATTTTCTCTAGTTAAGAAGCCACTGTTACTAATAGTAGCTCTTCCTGTGAATGCTTTATTCTGCAGGATTTCTTCATAGAAACAGTTAATCTGCAAGAGACATGCATTGGTTCAATTAATCTTGATTGCATTTGAAGACTTGCTTTGTCATGTTGCATATCTCATCTCCATGAGATGTGCATTAGTTCGGATAACCTTTCTGTAGATCAGTGACTGGCTGTGCTACTTTGGGACTCATTGTCCATAATAAATTGTTATTTCTTTTGGTGAAATAAATCTAAGTCCCAGGATATATTTTATATCACTGTGGAAAAAGGTTTCCTAATAGGGCCAACTAGGGAGCTTGCCTATGCAAAATATATAAAATTGTTAATATTATTGACTTGGTAGTTAAGTCAAAATTTAATGCGTCTTTCTTGGATTTTAGATATAAATAAATATAATCATATACAGGAAAATTTTTCCTAAAACCTTATAATGTTTATAAAATCATTATTTACAGAGAGATAAGATGGATTATTTCGTGTCTGATTTTGAAAGAGGATTTTTTATCGTCCCAATCCAAAAACCCTGGATTTATCCCTCTGTCACTTGTTTGTCCTTGTGGGACTAATCTTTCCCTAGTCTTTATCTACTAGAGTTTGATGACAAAACTGATAAGTTCGATATTATTTAGTCAATAATTAACTATATCACTGAGGTATTATGAAGGGGTTTGTTGCCAGTAAGTTTCTTATGGTTTTACATAACCAGAATTTGAAACTGGTAAACAACTTCCATCCTTAATCCTAACTAGTAAAACATGTTGCAAAGACTTTTCTTACTATGTAACTGGAGCACTCATGTAGCTGAATTGGCGGATCCTTTATTTATAAAGTACCTTCCAGTTAATCCAAAAGATTGAAGATAAAAACATTGCAAGAGGGAATTTATTAAGGCATAATATCTCCATATAATGGTTTGTCTCATATTTTTGTTAGAATTAGTCATTTTGAGATGAATAAAATTGAACTTAAAGCATACAGAATCAAAATAGAATGCTTGCTATTTTCTCTCTTGCGTTGGTGTACAGCCATGAATCAAATCAAACCACCAAAAAAGCAATCCTATGTGATAAAGAAGCCTAACCCTTGTGAAACAGGTTCTTTTGCAAGCGGTGAATTGCCAACCACAAATAAGATCCTGGATCAGCAGAATTACTTGACTAGGTATCCATGGTTAGATGCAGTAATGAACAAACCACTTTTAGGAATATACTAGCAAGCTCTAGATTGGGCCTTTGCATCGCCAATTTTACTACAATATGATGTCAAGTAGAATGTTTCCTTCTCAAGTAGAATCTTTCCATTGCACATGGAGCTGAATAATTTTACTCAATGGTGTCTTGTGAAGCTGTCAGACATATGAGGGTGGCATTGCTGGAGAGCCTGGTTCTGAAGCTCATGGCGGGTATGGTTCTGAAGCTCATGGCTGGAGAGCCTGTCAGACATTTTGTTTGCTGTTGCGATCTTTAAATTGCTTTGTCTTTTGTATGGTTGCAATAGGTACACCTTTTGTGGGTTGGCCACAATGATTCTAATCAATGAATCTCAGCGTTTGGACTTGCGTAGTCTAATTGTAAGATGTGTTGCTTTTATTTGGTGCTTTGATAACCCTCTTTTTGAACTGTGAATTATCAATGGTTGCTTCTCTCAAGTACTTAAAAAGAAACAGTTGTTTATCTTAAGCTGAAGAGCATGGAAGTTCTAATTAGCAGATGAATATTTTATTTTTTGTAGTTATAGAAATTATCTTGTTGGACAATCATTGACTGGCCTCATTTCTTATTTTTAATCATTTTTTTGATCACACAGATTAATATCTAGTACATTATACACATTAAACTTTTTCCATAAGAATTATAGATATTATGTTTTTATGGTTATGTGAATTATACAATTTAAGATACTTCTCATTGTTTTACTGTAGTAGTGATGAAGGATACTTGGACATGTTGCTTATAAACCATAAAACTGGTTTCAAGGAGATGTTATATCAATACAAGGTGGGGTTATGGGTTTGTTGAATCTAAAGTTTGAGGGTGAAACTGCATGCCATAGCACCTTTATTTAATCTTTTATGCTGTTTAATGATAGATACTGTTAGAACTGTTAATATTCTATGTAGCATGTGCCGCTGGGGCACTATTGTCTTTTTACTCTTTTATTTTGTCGCCCTATATATAATAATAAGCATACTTCTCGACTCCAATCGTTCTCTTCTCCTCCCTCTCTTCTCTCCCTGCTCTCTTTTTTTCTCCATTATTTTTCTATATTTTTCCACTGATAATAGATACATTTTCATTAAGAAAAGTTCAGTATGTCATATGAAAGAAAAGAAATGATCTAAATCCACGTTTTCCAGGCCTGCCAAGTTAGACTGTACAAAATGTTCACTATGCCAACTCCCATGTGAACACTGTCAAATCTAACACTGTCAAATCAACCTTATGTTGTTCAATACATTGTTCAACAGATACGGACTAATCACAATCTGACTCTGGTGCAAGGTTTAAAATGTTGATGTCGATGGAAATGTCGCTTACCAAAATATAGGACATATGTCGGAAATGTCGGAAATGTCCTGAGGAAATATTGTAAAAATTAAAGACATTGTGGAAATATTATGAAATATGTGGAAATATGCAAAGATATTTTGTAAAATGATAAAAGAAGCAT